TAAAAGGAACTCTCTGAAATAAAGGCGGATTCACTTTGAAATGTCTGTAAACTGGCGGGCTTCACCTCCCTCCATCCTTGGCTACAAGACAGCCTTCTTCCTTGCTGATCCCTTTCTGAATGTAGGGAAGCAATCCGGAACACAGCCAGGGTGGACTGGCCTCCAGGTAAACTTACCTGCTGTCTGTGTCCAGTCCCATGATGTCCTCCTTCTCAAACGGGATGCAGAGGAGGGGGTTCTTGTCCCCAGACTTCTTAGGGGTCCTATCCAGCCTCTTGGACTTGGGCAAGATCTAGAGTGACTCAGTGAAGTCCTCGATCCTCTTCTCCACCACCCTGCAGTCCTCGTAGTTTGAAGGACAAGTCGGTGCGTGGCTGCTCGGTTACCTCCCCATGCAGCACAGAGACCAAGAGCTGAGAGTCATTAAGCGCGGTGCCATACAGCTCCTCTGCACGTTGAGCTTCTCGAAGGTCTTGGCCGAGAGACAGTCGGTAATGGTGACAAGGCCCACGACCTTGCGGTGTGTCTGGAAGCCGCTCCAACCATTCTCGGGCGCACAGTGGTGCCTGTAGTGGATACAGAGTGCCCACTGGGAGCCGCACGGGCTGATACGGCTTACCAAGGAGATTCGCTTATAGATGCAAAAGAAATTCTCCTCTGAAATCATCCCCATGGGTTGGACCACTACGGGAAGTGTCTGGTGGTCCTCAGCACACTGCACGTAGTCAGGGATGCTCATGTTGCAGGTCCTGCTGAGAGGGGAGAGGAGATTGAGGTACATACTGTGCTGTGGGTTGCTGGCCTCACTGGGTTGCAGTGACCTGGTGTGTACCAGCCAGAAGGCAAGGGAATCCAAAGCAAATCCGGGGATACAGTTTGTCCTCAGAGTCTGCTCATGGCTACCATAGCTCGGATCACATTACCCAGATTTGGCCTCGGCTTCCTGCCCCTGCAGAGAAAGGTCATTTCTTATTTTCTGTTTCCAAGCACCGAGCAAGTCCCTGATGCAAAGTCACTGCTCAAAAATGCTGAATAAAGAAATGAACAAAGGCTTTGTTTTCCCCAACACTCTCCAGCAGAAGATAAAG